AAATAATTTACTTGCAAATGATCGCAAACAATGTAAATTGTTACATAGTATGATTTTTGTGAAATCTTGTTTTTTTAACAGTTCGTAGTGATATATGAATAGTATGAACCAAATCTTTCATTTTATATCGATGAATCGTTAAAACGATAAGTACTAATTTATTTGACATTCTGCAAAATTTACTTTTATATATTTATTTATATTTAACATTAATACAGTATTACAAGCGACTAAAACATTTCAGAGACATTTGGTTCATGCTATTGCTATATATATATAATATATATATATATATAAAATGTAAGGCAGCATTACATTGCTAAGAATACTTTTTATTGCCATTTTACATATTGTAACTGAATCAACAACTATTTGTGAGAATCCGATGAATTTGAAATTCCGTGGATTTAGATAATGCTAAGCATGTATAATGCTTTTAAATTTGTTAGCATGTCCATATTAATCTTATAATGGATACTGTGAATAGACATACTAATCCAAATCTTCAGAAAACATTCTTTGAATTCATTAAGAGAACTCTTTTGTTTGAAATATTCAACAATAGTCCAGTATATCGTAAAATTATAAGAGAAGGAAATGAACTGAAGAACGAGCAGTTGATTGTTAGGAAAGTTTTAAACACAATAAAAATGCCAAGACAAAAAGTGTGCGTGTGCATGCGTGACGCTGCTGGTGAAACAAGTATGGTGACTTTCTTACTGCTCTTATAAGAAGTGGAATAATATATTTATCATAGGTAAAAAAACATAGGTTGAAATTGTTTTTCATTGAAGAAATGTGGTTCCTTGCTTACAGACTTCTCGATAGTGGACCTGTATGTTGTTGTTTGTCTACCTGAAATACTTGCACTGAAAACCTAATGCTTGAAAAGGATTGATCTCCGCTAGCAATTAAGCTGTAGTGTTTTAATCAGAATCACTGATTTGTTTCACCGACAGTACATATATGCGTGTGTGCGTCAGGATGTCCAGTGTCTCCAATATATGTTGAGATATTCACAGAAATGTTTACCATAAGAATTTAAGGAAAACTGAGGTTCTCTCAGAAAAGTAATATCCATTGAATATTTATTAAAAATGTTGCTCAAAGTTTGCATAAAATACGGTTAGATCCCTGTAAAGGTATTGCTTTTTCCCTGCTTCTCATCTTGCACACTGTCAATATCATGATTCACCTCTAAAAATCCTCTGATTCATCCGTAGTAAATATATAGGATGATTCGTATAAAGTGATCTGAAAGCAATTATTCTTGAAGGTAAAAGTGCTTGATAACATTCTTATACACTTAAGACGTCGTCGTTAATGCGGAATGTTTTTTTTGTATCAAATCTTTCATATGTCCTTACACAGTTAATGATATTTCATTATAAGTATGTCAAAATATTTATAGGATTGATAAGGATACTCGAATGGAATAAAATATATTCCATGATATTTTATCAAATCTAAACAAAAATAGAGATGATTTTGCTCTTGTTTTGCTTACTGCAACCTTCCATTTTTAAATTAGACAGCAAAACAGGGGCAGACCAGAATGCAAAAAGTAGACCATTTTTGTTTCATTTCGGCTTGCCTATTAAGCTTACAAACATTTCAATGCATATTAGATCTGTGTATCTTTCCTTTTGTACATGGTTCTTCTTAAGTTTTACTTAATTTATGAACAGGCTATTGAAAATGAGCTTATTAAATGTTGAAGAAGTAATTCATGTTTTAATTACAGGTAATTTGAAATTGCTGATAATATGGTCTTGTAACAAGAGTCTGAGTCCAGACATTGCAAAGTAATGTAAGACTAATCAGATATTTACAAATTCGTTATTTTTACACTTGAAATGTTAAACAATGAAACATTCAAATTACCATTTGCAATAATAACAGTATTCTTTGCTATATAAGAAATAAAAGTTCCATTTTCATTTCATTCAAAGGAAAGTATTCTCTTTGATTCAGTCAAATCTCAATAATCCAATAATAATAAATATATATATTTGTTAAAATACAAGTTAATTTTTCAAATGTAACTCAAGGAGCAACAACGGTAATTAGTGATCATTTAACAGATTCAATTAGTAAGTATTACACAGCATTCTCCTACTATATAAGTATTTATTTTCTTTCCAAAAGCAAATTTTCCTTTTTACAAATTTAACATCACAGTAGTGTAATGTATTAAAAAGCCGTTAAGATAATAATTTTAAAACATCCCACTTCCTTATCCCGGATTGGTGGCGCCATTTAGTGAGAGACCGCTCAAACTTCTAACCAAAACACGTCTTGTCCCTTTGTACAATTTTTAATGAATGAATAAATATTTACAACAATTGAACAGCATATTATAAAGTTCACAATCTCAGGAACGAGAAACATAGCAATCGATAAATACAATAAATTAATAAGGTTGGTTAAGAAATATTCTACCATATCGACAAGAACACCATACTATCCCTGTCCTTCTCACTCCCATATATCTACGGAGGTCCGAATATCCAGGAACAATTGTTTGGCGCTGCGAATCGAACGTAGAATGTCATAGCATGAGGGAAATCTACTCGATTCATAACTTTCGGGTGGTGAAACAGAGTGAAATTATTTTGACAGTTGGGTACGTGCATGTGAAGTCACATTACGTACCATAGAATACTATGAAATAGATTGGAGTACAATTATTGTAACAATTGTTGTATAGGACAATCTTCTTATTTTATATTAAAATCCTGGTAGAATTAATTGAAAGTAGTCGAAAAATAATTTGATAATAAAAGACGTTTTATATTTGTCCTCTGTGAAACCATGTTGAAACCAAAAGCTCTTACACAAGTACTTAGTCAAGCAAATACAGGAGGAGTAGAAAATACATTGTAAGTATTGTCTGTTAACAATACGATTCTTATCATTTCTGACAAAATATAGATTGTTTATTCTTCGTATATATTATCTAGTAATAATTGAAGTTGTTAAATATATGTATAATAAGTATTGAAAGGATTACACGATTGTTGTTACTTTTATAATTATGACATTTACCTGTAAATAATCGTACCAATTATTATTAAATTATACGCTTAAAACAATTTCAGCTTATTAAACAGAGATGGTGGTTTGTTAGCTTATAGTGGATACGGAGACAAAGATGCAAGAGTTACGGCTGCAATTACAAGCAATATTTGGTCAGCTTATGAAAAAAATGGACGTAATGCATTCAAAGAAGATGAATTGCAATTTGTATTAATGGATTGTGTGGTAATTATTAAATTCTCTGCCATTATGTATTAAATATACAAAATAAGCTATTTACATGAAACCATTCTAATAACTTTGATGAATATAAGTTTGTTTAAACGAGTGTTACATTTAAAGAAAATTACCGATAAAATCATCTGAGTTATTAAAATAGTTCTATTAACAGTTTTTTATTATATAGAAATTGAAGCATTTGTTTGATTGATTTTCTTTAACTTTCTTTAATTATTGAAAATAAAAATTCGATTAGTACAAATTTTAAATATGATTTGAATTATGATGATATTCATATTATTATTAGAAAGTGTTTATATTTTATTTTAAAAATTTCAATTATGTTGTACACTTGTCAAACAAATCTTTTGTAGGAGGGGAAAGTCGTAATTACTGAAGTAGCAAATTTATTGTTATGTTTATATGCAAAAGAGAATGTAGGATTTGGTTTACTAAGAGAAAAGGCACAAGCTCTAGCAAGATATCTTGATCAACCATTAAAAACAATAGCCAATATGCCTTGAACAACATACTTATGTAAGAGTATTTTTCATTAACTGTGCTATAATATTATAATTGTATATTCTAACACTTATAATTTTTTGTAAAAATATATGATTTGTACTACTCTTGAAATAATATATTTTTAATAAATCAGAAGTTGGTTTATTAGCTCAAAGACCTGTTTATTAGTTAAAACTATGTATAGAAAAATTATGATTAAAATCAAAGACTGATGTAAACATTCAAAACAAAGAATATAAAAAAGATA